TTTTGCTGTTGTTATGGTTGTTTGTGTAGTTGTGGTAGTTGTGGCTATTGTTGCTGTCGGTTCTATATGAAACAAAACAACTGAATAAGATTTTGTTTACAATTCACGACTTCTCTATCTATTAACAATATAATTGGCTTTAAATATATCTGTATGGATTTTCTTGTCTATCTTCTTCTATAATAATTATTTATAATTATCTTTCGAGTACAACAACTGAAACAAATCAGTTGACACAATATGAATTAAGTGCTAAAATTCTTTCGAATCTTATACATTGGCTCAGGTAATATCATTCTATGAAAACTTTTGAGGATATGATAGCCTTTACAAATAATAAAACTTATGAAATAGCTACTATTAATCGTTATTCAGAAATATAGTAAACTTGTTTATTGTCATAGTTACTACAAATAATAAATACATTGGTCCATAAATCTTGTATCATACATGTAATTATCTTCAAATAGCTAAGCAAATGAGTCACTTCTCTGAAGACTATTGATTTCATTTATCAAAATCTATATAACATGTCAATAATAATATTTTAAATTGTGTCATTAACTTAAATAGTTATAATTAATAATGATTCTCATTCATAAAAACAAATAATCTGCTTACCGATGATAATACCATTAGTATCTTTATTATCATAATTGATGCTATTGGAATTGGGATAAGATTGAACGTGACAAAGTTCCACAGGTATGTAGCTTCCATCATCCGCCGTAATATTAATAGAGGTTACATCATTGACTTTTTCATGAATGTTGATGAACAGCTTCATTTTACAGTTCAACGTGTGGCATTCTAAATTGTTTGGATAGTCCAATACGATGTCAAAGACTATAACGTCACCTGAACGATCCGTTTTATCACATTGAATGCTATATGGAAAGTTATAGGTAAATATGCTTAGCAGAAATTAAATAAAAACAAAATTACTCGCGACGGCGACGTCGACCTTTGATAGAAGTTGCTTTTGCTTTGCCAATGCTGGTGAGATTGACCGAACCTTTGGGAGAACCAGTTGCTTGTTCCAGCTAAAATACATATTAAACATTATGAATTAACATAAAAGACAGAAATTACACAAGCGGCGTTTGCTGTACGGTTTGTGACGGATTGTGTGCCGCGCTTTATTGCCATTCCAGGTGGCACCAGGTAAGAAACAGTGAACGAACGAAGTGCATTTACTAGTAAAGACTACGTATATGTATCTAATAAAAAAAATCAGTGAATACTAACGAATGTCGGTCGTTGTGTTGGTAGTGCCAAGATTAGGTGGTGACAGATACGTAGGAATAAGTGAAATACAAACTATGCATGCAACAATCACATAGAACAGTAGCAACAGACCACATTTAGAAGACCTAGAGAACTGGTAAACGACAACAAAATTCACCAGACATAGTCACAATTTACCTTTGAGAACTTGCTAGCATCACACGATCCATGTTTTTTAACTCGTCGAAAGCTTGTTGCGCTGAACTTGAAAAAAATATGAAATGAATATTTATACTAAATTCAAGTGGTAAAGAGAAGTTAGTGAGAAAGAATGAAAACCCTAGGATCAATACAACAACAAAATTTATGTAATTACTAGTTAAAAGTGATATAGCACCCCTCCTAAATAGAAATGGCATAGTAGTACTTACTGTGAGATAATATCCAACTGCAATCAAAGTTGAAACAAATCAGTTGAATACACTGGTTGTGAATCTTAACGAAAACAAGTAATGAAACGAATATATAAAGGGCAGACGCTGTTCTATTAGTTCCGTCTAGACGCTTATTTCATGAATATAAATGAGTTTTTTTGTTTTTTATATTTATTACTCATCTTAGTCAAAAACAAGTAAGCAATTAAATAGAAAGGAAGTAACATATATGTAATAGTTATTGCGTATAATGACCGTAAATAAGAAAGAAAAATGAGTTATTGATCATGTTTTTCACACTTACATCTAAAATGCGTGTACATTACTAAAGATAAGAGCTGAGAGTGTAACAAATCGCTGTTCATCACTACTATTTAGTAGATTACTACTGTCTGGCTTTTATTTTTCCCAGCAGATATTTACTCTTTTATATAATTTCTATGAATTATTATGAATAAAGATATAGCATACTGGCTTCTGTTTATCAATCTTATAGAATATCACAAAATAGAAATGAGAGATTTACTTTTGTACATTTGTATAGAAAAATGAGTTCTACTTCAAAAAATAAAAATCAAACAGTGAAAGTCTACCCAGAAGTAATGATGAACGACGATTTCTCACACTCTCAGCTCTTATCTTTAGTAATGTACACGCATTTTAGATGTGAGTGTGAACAAAATGATCAGTAACTCATCTTTTTTTCTTATTTACGCCGATTATACGCAATAACTATTACATATATGTTAAACGGAGATATGTAATTTCTTTTCTATTTAATTGCTTACTTGTTTTTTTACCAAGATGAATAATAAATATAAAAAACAAAAAAAACTCATTTTTATGCATGAAATACGCGTCTAGACAGAAATAATTGGACACCATTTGCTCTTTACATATTCGTTTCATTAATTGTTTTCGTTTAGAGTCATAACAAGTGTATTCGATTGTTTTTGGATATTACTCAAAGGTGATTACTAATATATCATTTCTATTTAGTTTATGTCATTTGAACAATATCTTCTGTTAATTTATAATCTTACATCCTTGAAAACATATCTCTTTTATATGTGAAAAAAACATACTCCACATGATTAGCCAAAAGGAAAACAAAGAAGTATGGTCTTGGAGCAAAAGATAGAAGTTAATAGATGAATTATTGAAGTAGGTAACAGTAGTACAGAGATGATAAATTAGACATTATGAAAGCAACGAATAAATCAGATAATTGATCAAAAAAAATTTGATGTTTTCTGTTTTTATTTTTGTGATATATTAAAAAGTTATCATACATAATAGAAATAGATTAATAGTTAACAAATTACAAAACAAGTATATTGCTCATGAAAATTAAATGCAATCTGATACGAAATGTTATAAATTTCGTTTTTGGCTTGATGAATACTATAATCAAGTTGGCATGCAAGTTCCATCAAATGGAGTATCATTGATTATATCGACTATATAATATAAAATAAATTGGTTCAAAACGATAATTGCCAATAAACTTTGTTGGAAAATATAAAAACTACACCGAAAATATAGTAAATACATTTTTTTCCATTATCTAATAAAATTAGAATTTCATCGTGACTAGCAAGATTCTCAATAATACAAATGATGAATCAGTTGCAATTCCTGTAATTAAACAATTTCAAACTTTTATATTAAAATACCAGCGCATGATAGCTTATTAAATACTTGAACATATACATATAATAATTGATAGTTTAAGTTGGTCATCAAAGCTAATAAGTCATTGATATGAATACGTGAGATTGATTTGTTATTCATATCTTCGTTTGTAAAAATTTGAGTTATCCAAGCAGACAGGGTTTTACAAAAACGCGTGTAAACGCTTACAAAACTGCTTTTTCTATCGTATAATCGCGTAGTTTTTTTCAGAAACGTTTAAATATTCAGAAAGTTGGTATTTTATGAGTTTTATCTTGGAATTATAAGCAAAAAATCGTACATCATTAATAATCATTGTGTAAATACTCTGTAGCTAAAACTTTGAATGTTTTATCTTCATAAATTAATTCCGTAACAGATGAAAGAAGTTTTACCGCGTAAAGAACAAAATAGGTGGAATTATAAATGTTTTCACACATTAAATGTATTCCGTAACTAACGACGCAAGTTTTAACGTGTAAACAACGAAATAGGTAGCATTATAAATGTTTTCATGCATTAAATTTATTCCGTAACTGATGATAAAAGTTTCACCGTGTAAAT